AGGTGGGACCTACTTAGATGGTCTTTCACCTTGCTGAGAAACATGGAGAGCAGATAGCTGAGTATTGGGGACCTCTGTCAAAGCTGAGACAGAAAGATGCCTGTATTAATATCCGGTCACAAATAAACAAAAAAGTTCTAATGTGGGTAATGCCACACTGCGCAAATTTTGAGAAGTACAGAGCGGTGGGTTGCAGAGAATTGTATGATGTGGTGCAAACGAACATATGCTTTGGAGTCAGATGATGTGGCTTGGAATCTGGACTCTGACTTTTATTTACTAAAAATTAAAAAAAAAAGCTGTAGCAAAATATACAGGATGTAAAAGTTACCATTTTAACCATTTTTAGAGTTTACAATTGAGTGGAATTACATTCACATTGTTGTGCAACCATCGCTACATCCATCTCCAGAACTTTCCATCATCCCAAACTGAGAGTCTATACTCGTTATACAATAACTCCTCTCCCCCAGCCTGTGACAAACGCCAGTGTGTTTCCTGTCTCTATAAATCTCACTTACTGTAGGTACCCTATATAAGTGGAATCATACAGGATTTGTCCTTTTTTTGAGTGTTCTGACATTTATTTTTGCAAGCGTATATTAAAGCTAAAATCTGTCTTGTGAGGACATTTGTTGTGAGAGAATCACAGGATAATCCTTGGCACAGAGTGTGCCTTCAACAATTTTACTTCACTTAATGGGATTTATTTACGAAGGGTGAAAAGGACACGGACCTCGAGTGCCAGAAAGAGTGTGCGCCTGCGCTCTGTGCTCTCTAGAGGGCGGACAAGGGCTTTGCACTGACCCGAGCGGAAGTCTCGCGAGAGTGTCAGACGCGTGGCGTGAGACGTGGGAGGAAGGTTGTGCTCTCGCGAGAACTCTTCCTTTCGGCCCTTTACCTGATCGGGCCGGTCTGTCTCCGAGGAAGCTTCCACTCCAATCGCCAGGCGCGGCGCTTCGAGCTGGTAAGAACCGTGGTGGCCCGCTGGGCTGGCGCACCTCCCCCAGCCCTCAGGTCGAAGGCTGGTTCGGGGCTCCATGACCGCTTGCTTGCCGGGCCTGGGCCTGCTCTTCCCATCCGGCCTTTCCCTCGACCCGTTTGGCCCCGGGGGTCACCTTTTCTTGACTGTTGGCCGCTCTGGCCCTGTCCTCTCCCCAGCCCTCGACACTCTCTGCCCGGGGGCCACCACCTCTGCCTGCCCGCCTTCTCCCGGCCCCGGGAGTGACAGCTGCAAGGTTTTGCTTGCTCTCGCCAGGGCCTCCTGGGGCGAAGAGGCTCCCGTTTTACAGAACGGGCCCAGAGCATATCCATTCCCAAACTGTTCGGTGGAAACGCGAGGAAGATGATATTTTTCCGGCCCTCTATAAGCCAACACAGCGTTACCTACCGTCTCATGTAATACTCCCCACAATTCCGAGAGGTGGTTTGATTCTCTCCTTTTTTACAGATGAGAAGAGCAAGGTTTGCTCATTCCTTGATTTATCCCACCAGCAATCGTTTATTCATTGCCTATGTGTTCAGGGTGTTGAGGCTAGAGCAATGAAAAAAAATGGGCACAACCCTTATTTTCGTGAAAGTAAATTCCTGTGGCAGGGCAACAGTAATATAAACAGTCTTAGGTGCCCTGTGATACAACATGGGATGATGCGATCATGAATGACAGCAGTCAGAGCGCTAGAGCCTGTCAGATCAAAAAAGCAGCTTTTTTCACAATTCTATGTTCCGATGTTTTCTAATCAGGGTAAGGTTCACCATAGCATAACTTGTCTTTTGAATAGATTTAGTTTTCCATCACCCATTTGGTAATTTGGAAATGTGGTTGTAAGGACTCTTGAATTATTTCCTGGGGTGAGGATGAGACAGGTCGTCATAGTTGGCTCATTTCTGTACTGCGGTCCTAGCGTGACATTTCTGAATTTTAAAGATTATCAGACCTTTTGAGGAAGACTTACCCAAATGCTACAGTGAAGGTGGGGGTGGTGCATGTACCTTGTGGCTTAGGGAAGTTACTTGGTTTGCTCTTTGGAATGTTTGCTAGCTTGCCTATTTGTTAAGATATGTGAGATAATATATGTAAGCTCTAGCCTAGTAATATTCCTTACATTTTATTTCTCTTTCCTCCTCTTCTATGGGACTTTTATCCTTGGGTCCTTAGGGTAAATCCTAGGGGTCTAAAGTTTTATGGTTTTATGATATTTTGTGTCTAAATAAACCTCTACAATTACATTATTACTGTTGGGCAGATAGGTATTTCAAAAGTGGAAAAGCACAGTGAGCTATGTAAGGGAAGGAAAATGTGATTCTTACAGGGGGAGGAGATATCCTGTTTTAGAATTACATAGGACACGCCTAGGCACCCCATTTTATTAAATCAGCTTAGCTGTGCCAGAATTTCAGGAACCTGTGTGGGGCCTTCAGAAAACTGTGCAGGATATTCTGACACATCCCTACCCCCTCTTGGCTAGTGTTTTTCTTTCTTTCTTTTTTTTTTTTAAGATTTATTTATTTATTTGACAGAGAGAGGCACAGTGGGAGAGGGAACATAAGCAGGGGGAGTGGGAGAGGAAGCAGGCTTCCCGCTGAGCAGGGAGCCCGATGTGGGGCTCCATCCCAGGACCCTGGGATCATGAGCTGAGCCAAAGGCAGACGCTTAATGACTGAGCCACCCGGGTGCCCCTTGGCTAGTGTTTTATAATAATTTCCCTCCTAGAGTAAGGGTTAGCATACTGTAAAACATTCAGAACCAGTCATCATTGCTGCTGGTGGATTTTTAACTCTCAATGTCTTATTTCAAAGAATTAGTATTTTCTGCTGAATATTTAGTGAATCAATGGCACAAATTCTTCTCTAGGTAGCAAGTTCACCATTGTGCTCTCAGGGACTGTCATAAGTATATTTCAGTGTAGGCACTCAATAAATATTTGTTGAATAAATACATAAAATCTTAGTACTGAAGTGATCCCTTTAACATACATTGTGTGGTTAAGGACTTTAGACTCAGACCTGGGATTAAATCTTGGTTCCTCTACTTGGAAGCTTGTGATTATAGGTGATATATATTTAACTTCGTCAAACCTTTGGTTCTTTATTTTTAAAAAATTATGGTGATATTATGTACTTTAAATGTTTGTGAGGACTAAATGAAATAATGTTTAAAAAAAAGAAACCCTTGGCACATAGATGTATTAAATACTTACTGAATTCATTCAACAAATATTTATTGAACACCACTATATAACTGAACAAAAAGACAAAGTTCCTTCCTGTGTGGAACTTACCTTCTAGTGTGCTTTCTTTTTTTTTTTTAGGATTTTATTTATTTATTTGACAGAGACAGTGAGAGCAGGAACACAAGCAGGGGGAGTGGGAGAGGGAGAAGCAGGCTTCCCGCTGAGCAGGGAGCCCGATGTGGGACTCGATCCCAGGACCCTGGGATCATGACCTGAGCTGAAGGCAGACGCTTAACGACTGAGCCACCCAGGCGCCCTCTAGTGTGCTTTCTGAAGTGGGGTCAGAAAATAAATGTCAGATTGTGATGAGTACTGTGGAGAAATACAAGATATATTAAGGGGGAGTGTGTGGAAGGAAGATTTTATTTTGTATAGGATAGCGAGGAATGGCTTCACTGAGAAGACAGCCAAAGGAAGTGATCAGACACCCTAAGGAAGTGAAGGAGTGAGCATAAGGATATCTGGAGGAAAGTGCAAGGACCCTGGAGGTGAAGCATCCTTGGTATGCTGGAGGAGCAGCAAGGAGGTAATTGTGCCTAGACTGAGCAAGCAAAGAGAAGAGCCGGTGAGGAGGGAGGAGTAGCGAGCAGTCATGAGGTTTCTGCAGGAATACTGGAGAGATATAATGGTGACTTACTAAATTGATGAGCTATTTATTATCATACCCCATTATCTGACCAAAAGTAATAAAAATAGCTACAGGTATCCCCTGCTTTTTTTTTTCTTTTTTCCTCTGCTTTTTTAAAGCTTGCATTATTCCACTTTGCTTTTATGAAAGACCTGTATTCGTATCTGTTTTCGCTAAGTGAAAGAAATCCAAAGAGGATTTTTGCTTTTATAAAAAAGGGCAAAAACCAAAAATGATGTTCAGCATTTGTTTTGCAGTGAGCCAAAATAGAGGCAGTATGCAGTATGCGCCCCAGCAGCTAGAGTGGCACCACCAAGCTCCTTCCCGGGGAGCTGCACTGAGTATCTCAACATCAAGCCACCACAGCTTTGAACTGGGTCTCTGAGGACCAGTGCTTTATCTCAATTAATTTTGTGCATCCATTTGACTTTTTCAATAGAAGTATCCCGAGCCATAGAGAATAAAGATTTGTCACTATGCATGATATACAATAGAATGTGCTCCTGGTTCAGAGAGCACTTTCTGAGGCATTGCTGAAATCAGTGAATTCAGTATCTCTGTTTGCATACCAGTTAGGTTCCAAGTCTAAAGTGACTATAGTAAGGCACCAACCAATATTTATGTATTGGATTAAGTTCAGTTTCATGGAGGCACTATAGATGTCCATGGCTTTTTTTTTAAGATTTTATTTATTCATGAGAGACAGAGAGAGAGAGAGAGAGGCAGAGAGAGAAGCAGGCTCCCAAGGAGCAGGGAGCCCAATGCGGGACTCGATCCCAGGACCCTGGGATCATGACCTGAGCCGAAGGCAGATGCTTAACCATCTGAGCCACCCAGGTGCCCGATGTCCATGGCATTTTTATTACTATTCCTGCTACCTTTTTTTTTTTTTTAAGATTTTATTTATTTTTTTGTCAGAGCACAAGCAGGGGGAGCGACAGGCAGAGCAGGTAGAGGGAGAAGCAGGCTCTCTGCCAAGCAAGGAGCCGGATGTGGGACTTGATCCCAGGACCCTGGGATCATGACCTGAGCCGAAGGCAGACGCTTAACCGACTGAGCCACCCAGCCCCTTCCTGCTACTTTTTAGCCCTCTTAAAGCTTTTGTCCACAACTTCCATTTTGGCTTTGTTTTCATTATGGATATGTCTGAATACTTTGTTTCAACATAGAACACACAAACAAGGTGAGTGGCCTAGGTGATAGGGGGCCAAGTTGAGCACTTTTACTCTAGTGGGTAGCTTTAAATAGAGTCTTTAAATAGTATGCTTATCAGAAGCTGCCATGTAGTTCTTCTCAGCTTGTCTTTGCTTGTTATATTATAACATTCAGTCATAATTTATAAACGTCACTTCTAGTCTGCAGTTCTTCAGAGCCTGACATGGTATTGATCCTCTTTGAATTAGGTAGATTCACTGGCAAGAGAATAAAATAGTTATTTTTTTAACAGTGTTTCTACTTTTTTTTTTTTTTTAAGATTTTATGTATTTATTTGACACAGAGAGAGAGAGGGAGAGAGAGAGCATGCACACACAGGCAGTGGCGGGGAGAGGCAGAAGCAGGCTCCCTACATGGGCCTTGATCCCAAAACTCTGGGATCATGACCTGAGCTGAAGGCAGATGCTTAACCTACTGAGCCACCCAGGGGCCCCTAAAATAGTTATTTTGAGGGTGTTCTTTTTACTTCTGATGTGAATGATTCATTCTAATTCTCTTAGCCATTCTTATCCCAAGTCGTCATCCTGATTTTGCCTGGTTTGATTATTCAGTGGAATCAAGATGTTCTTCTCTGGTGCTAGTAGTATGTTTGGGGGCACTTGAGGCTTACTCTTCCTCTTATCCAGCATTGCCTAGAGTGCTCTACAGATGTGACAGTTTGGTTCAGTGAAGGAGTGAATAACTGACCAAATATGTTAAAATGTTTTTGATTGTCAATTTGGTCATAGATAAGAAATTAAGTCTTTTAATACTTGGGCACTTACTGATTTCATAAGAACATAATCTTAGGTATATTTTGAGTTTAATTTTGACATTATTGCTAGTCCCCCAGGCTTGAAAGAAGAAAATATTATATCACTTGTTCACTTCTTGTGGGAAAAACCACAAGATATTTATCATAAAAACAGGGATAAAGTGGTATTATTACTGTGATCGTAGATAAGTAACATGTTTTCCTATCCTTGACTGTATTATGGCCAGAAGTTTCAGGTTAAAAATAGGGCAGGGCCCCAGTTCTGAAAGCCTACCAAACTTCTGTGATGTCAGCTAAAATTTCTGTGGTACTGCAAAAATCTGAGGGGAAAAAAAAAATCCTGAGGTGGCTGTAAATACAGTTAATATTTCCCCTTTAACTCACAGACTTCCTGATGTTTGTGAATCTCTATAGCTGAGCTTTGATGGGTCTGGCCTCAGGAGAAACACTTTATTTTAGTGCCTCTTCTGGGATTATGGTTTCAGTGGCAATACCCTTGCTAGTTTTGTTTTGTTTGAAAGAAAACTAAAAGTAGTGTTACACTGGAAACATTTCCACCTCTGCAAAACCTTCCTGAATTAATGCAGGCCTTAGTGTGACATCAAGTTGATTATCTATGTTTAAAGAACTATACTGTACTTACTGTGGCTAGTCTGAACTTGAACATCTGTTTATCATTTATTCATCTATCCATTTATCAAACATATGTTAAGTCTCTGTTGAGTTTAGGGTCACAGCATTGCACAACTTCAGGGACACCATGCACCTTATGTCAATGCAATGGAGCATGTAGAGTGAAGGAGGTTGGTAATGCCAAGACACCCTTACCAGGCTATCTGTTCAGCATTAGGGTGTACAAAGCCAAATAAAACATGATACCTTCTTTTGGGAGTCTCAAGCTAAGGAGGCAACCATGTAACATGTAATTAGAGTAACACGTTATAGGTGTCATGCTGGAAACCTGTACAGATTAGAGTGGGTCCAGAGGAAGGAGCAGCTAATTCTGTTGGCCAAAACTATTGAGGAGTGGGGTGCTTGGTCAGGAAAGGCTTCATAGTGGTGGGACTTGAGCATAGTTAGAGTAGAGAAGTGGATAGGTGGGGAGAAGGGAACTGGTATTGCTGGCGGAGAGCACTGGGAGAGCCAAGCTGGACAAGGTGAACCAGCCTGGACTGTGCATAGAATAGCTGTGTAGCAGGTCACAGTGTGGGGCTGCCTTGAGGAGACGGCAGGAGAATCATGTTGGAGCAAGAAAGTAGAGAACTTTATTGCCTTTGTAAGAAATTTGGACTTTATCTTGTAGGCAAGTGGGGAGTCATTGGAGAGTTACAGTTTATGTTCTCTCTAGATGAGAGAGATGAGATGATCTACTCGGAGTGGATGGTCCTCTTGTTCTGAGACAGCATAGAAATCTTGAAGCAGAAGAGAGGTAAAATCCCCTTTACAATGTAAACATTTTATAAAGATGCCAAATAATGGGCAAATAATGAAGTTTAAGGGAGTCAAGGGGAGCCTGCAAAGTGGTTTGAATGCAGAATTCTTCTAGATTTCTTTTTTATTAAGATTTTTTAATTCACTTGAGAGAGACAGAGAACAAGCAAGCGCATGAGCTGGGGGGAAGGAGCAGAGGGAGAAGCAGACTCCCTGCTGAGCAGGGAGCCAGACCCGGGCTCCATCCCAGGACCCTGGGATTATGACCTGAGCCGAAGGCAGATGTTTAACCAACTGAGCCACCCAGGCGCCCCTGGAATTCTTATAGATTTTTATGATTTTTTTCTCCACAGTCTTTTTATGTTTATGTAATATTGAATAAATCACATTATTGTAGTAACAACTAAAGCTGGCATAAACTGACAGAACAAACACTGACTCTCAGTAACTGTAACTCTGGAATTCAAGTGAGGGAGAGCTGGAGCATTTAGTGTGTGGAGGCATTGGTCAGGATCTTTTAGAGAGGGTGTAGAGATTATTGGTTATGTAGGTGATAGTCAACACAGTTTCTACTGTATTTACATTGTGAGTATTTTATAGAGGTGCCTAAAAGATGAAAGTTCTTGACATCAGTTATATTTTGATAGACTGAGAATTCCTCCTTTCTAGCCATCTGACTTAAAGTACAAAGGGCCAAAAAATTTAAACTTTCATCATTTAGAAGTATGTTTCTTTTTTTTAATCTTTACGAAATGTGTTATCCAATGAAGAAATTGTTTTCTCCTTATTTTTGGTAATGTATGTCTGAAATGGGATCCCAGAAACTTTGTGCATCATAGATAAAACAGGTGCCTCCACAAACTGTTCATCTGAAATCTGAGGGTTGCTCAGTTGAAGGTGATGGCCTTTAGTGTTACCTTTGATTTTTTTTTTTTTTAAGATTTTATTTATTTGACAGAGAGAGACTGCGAGAGAGGGAACACAAGCAGGGGGAGTGGGAGAGGGAGAAGCAGGCTTCCCGCCGAGCAGGGAGCCCGATGCGGGGCTCGATCCCAGGACTCTGGGATCATGACCTGAGCGGAAGGCAGACGCTCAACGACTGAGCCACCCAGGCGCCCTCCTTTGCTTTTTGTCATGTGGTTTTGCTTTACTCTTCCTATTTACAAAAATAGTTTCATGTGCATAGACAAGAGCAAATATTTTACATTAATAAAATTGATTGAAAGGGAATGACTACTGCTGTCTAGATTTTTTTTTTTTTTTTTTTTTTTTTAGATTTTTGTTTTCTGGCCTGATTGGATATGCAGGCTATAAGGTTGTTTTTGGAGAAAAGGGCACCAAACTAGACGTACCATGAGCATGATAATCAGACAGGAATACTGTATGCCAGGTACTGTCCTAAACATTTTACATATAATTCATGTAATTCTCATTGAGTTGGTGACAGTAATAATGGACATCTGGAACAATAGGCGAGGGCTGAACCCCAGCTGGGCTGACAGTGGTGCTCTCTCAGGAGGCATAAACTACTGGGCAGGGACATTCCAAAAATAACTCGGTAAGCCTTCAGAAGACCCACGGTTGTTATTTCTCTGTAGCGATTAGCAGCAAAACCCTTAAGTCATAGACGTCTTGACGATTTGGGCCGCGGAGCCGGGTGGACGCAGGCTAAGAGCTGAAGCAGCGGGGCCGAGGGGAGGCTGGAGAGGAGCCCTTTAGGAACTCCGGAGGCGGCGGGGGCCTGGGGTTGACGGGAAGGGGGAGGTGCCCGAGTGGGCGGAGCCTCCCGGCTCGACTCCGCCGCCGACGTGCGCGCTCCCAACGCCGGGGGCTGCTGCCAGTCGCGGGCGGGGCGCGGCGCGGCTTTTGGTTTCCGGCACCTTCGGCACTCGAGCGGGGGAAAAAGCGTCCTCCGGCTCGCCGGGCTGTTCTCGCGGCGGAGACCGAGCCTGCTAGGTTCGTCCGGCAGCCCAGGAACGCCGTGGGAGCGCTCAGAGTCGCTTGCCACGTTGGGGTGGGGAAGGGGCTCTGCGGCCCCGGCTGTGCGCATGCGTGCTGAGCGGTGACCCTGCGACTGCGGCTTCGTAGGGCTACTGTGCTCTTAGAAAGTGTTGGGGAACCTGGAAAGTTCCATGAATCATTGTTGCTTTTAACTAGAAAAGTCTTACTTGGCATTGGGTGGGGAATTTTGTGGTCGGTTTGCAATTACTGCTTCGGAAAGTTGATGTGCTGGGGTTGATTGTTCGTAGTTACAAGTATAAAGGTAGATCCCAGCGCAGTAAACTCTGAAGTGTAAATCTTAAAATATGCTATTGTGATTTCATTATTTTCTTATTTGTTTAAGTCTCTTCAGGTATTAACCTTTATTTGCGAGGTGTAAAAAAAATTTCGGAGAATCAAATCCTGGATTTCAAAAATACTTGGTGTTGATAAAGAAAAGTGGACTGGGGCTAGGGTAAGACATATATAGCTTTTGAGTTAATGAACTGTGAAATAAAAAAACCACCTTTTATTTTTTTTTAACAATAGAGAACGTGTGGAGAAGAAATGTCTCAAGGTAATGTGGAATATTACTTTATAATTAATTTTTTCGTGAAAATTTGTACAGTCTAATATATATTGTCTTCATCAAAGATAACCAAATTGGCAGTATTACAAACTTAGTATAAATCCATAGAACATAGGTGTATGCTGTGGATTGTTTTTTAGGGAGTAGGCTTCTAGCAATGATTTGGATGCCAGGAAAATAACTAAAAAGTGGACTTTTTTTTTTTTTTTTGGAGAGGAGGGGCAGGTGGGAAGGGTGACGGTGAGAGCTGGAAGGTGCAGTTAGAGATGACCTGGTCTAAGCCTTCAGACAGACAAGTGGAACTTCGAGTGATTCTGATACAGATGTGGGATCAGAATCCAGGGCTCTTGCTGTGTCCTTCATACTTGGCACTGGTACTTGGCAATGTTTTGATTATTCCCAAACTATCATGACATGCACAGGTACTTTTATTTTGTTAGCATTATCCAAGGAAGAAAGTTCTCAAAAATTGTCATAATTTATTGAGGACTATGAAAATGGACAGAATCTTGAAGTTATTCCAGTAGCATTCCATTGGAATGTTCATTCTTGTTTGTTTTTTTTTTTTGGAATGTTAATTTCAAACTCTAGCATTGGCAAATAAAAGTAATTTGTGGGTGTTAATACACTAAAGAAAGAACAAGCTTGTCAGAGAGCATCCAGGACTAGACCTTAGGAACCTTAGTTCTAAACTCAAACCTGTTATGGCTGTGGCCTTTAGATGGGTCTTCTAAACTGTCTGGGCCTTAGTGGCTTCATGTATAAAATGAGAACAGTCTACTAAAGAGATGGCTAAGAGTTTTTCACCTTTAAATTTTGGTTTGTGTTGGTCACAAGAGGGTTATAGCTTTTTGGAAATTTTATGCTTAAACCACATGATAACGATTTAGCTTCATTTGTGGTTAGTTGCTCAATTCTAGTTTCATGATCTTTGGATTTCATAATTAGATTTGTGCAAACCACTGTGCAAAAATGGCATATATAGTTTATAGAACTCTTTGGGGAAAACTCTAGGTTTTCTTGGAGCTTTATTTGAGGGGTGCATGTGTCCCTCCCTCCTCCTTCCCCCTACCCCCAAACCTAGAACAGGAATCCTAGAGGCAGGGAAGTTTTAGAAGCACTTAAACTTTTGACTTTGTCTCAAAAAATATACATTTAAGACAGTCTTCTTTTGAAGGTGGCGGGGCAGTGACAAATGGGCTCTAAAGACCCTTATTAACAAGGTGACTGCTTTGAAGGATAACACTCATTTTTTGAAAACATGTGATAAATATGTGGGGAAAATCAGTTTTGTAATTTAAATCTCATCCTGCCTTCTGTCCATAGCTGATAAAGAGAAAACCCAATTTGTGTACTTTTGCCATATTTGTTCTTGTTAGTTTGTATAGTACTTGTGATTGAATTTAGAAGAGCTCCTTTAGGGATCTGGTAATAACAGTTAGCACTTACATGCATTTGAATTTGCCACCAATATGATCTAGAGCTGTGGGGTTTTGGCATTGTGAAGTACATTTTAACTTAATTTTATTGATTACGTTTTACACTGTGCCAGGCATTATGGCATGCCACACAAATGGTGAAGACCTAAGAATGGGAAATTTGGCACAGGTGAAAGTTGGTTAATAATTGGAAGGACAGCTAAACATGCCTTGCATATAACTTTTAAGTGCAAAGCGAAGCAACTTGTGGTAATGAGGTGATACTCCAGCTCTCCAGGTATGAGCCAACAGTTCACTTGTGTTGCACAGGTATTTTTCAAAATCCCTACAGTGTGCACCAGGTGTACGCTAATGCCTATGCTTAAAACAGGGCAGTTTACAGTGTGAAAAAGTTAGCAAAATAGTTACAGCTGGTCTTTTGAGGGTTGGAAAAAATTTCCAGAAAAATTCCTGTCAAATTTAGTTAAGGAGGCCCTTCCTTTTTAGAGGTCATTATGGCGAAACAGACTGAGGTGTAACAAAATAACAGGGACATTACAAAGTTTCTTGAATCTTTCAGTTTCTTAGAGGTCACTAGTTTCTCACTATGGATCTTTTCCTGACATGGTCAAAAGAAAGCCTATTATGCTTCTTCCTCCCATCGTTTTATTTCTGATGGGGATCACACCACTTTTGTCCCTTTCCAGCTTGTAGCTAGCTATCTGGTCCTAAACCTAGGCTTGAAGATGCAGTCTAGGCCAAAGTTTGCTTCCTTTCAGATGAGGAGTCAGTCATGTGGGGGACTCTACACTGGGAAAGCTTCTGTTCAGCCAAAAGCTGGCTTCTTTGGGAAGGTCGTTGCCTTCAGAACTGATAGGAACTTCTTTCATATATTGCCTCAGATGTCTCCTGTTTAATCCTCCTCTACTCCCTTTGGGTGATTCTGAACAAGTCTAAGTCTTTTCGACAGGTCACCAAGTATTTGAGTGTCGTAATCAAGTCCTCCAGGAGACTTCTCTTATCTAGGCTGAACAGCTTCCTTTCCTGTAGAAATTTTTCATGGTTTGACGGTCCCCTTCCCTTTTCTAAATGCCTGTTCTAAAGTGTGTTTTTCAGAAAGAAATTTCAAATTTAGTTTAATAAATATGGAAGAGATTTAGTCCTGTGACAAACAGTATACTGTTGCTAAATGCAAGTGGTGGTATTTTTCTTTCAGAGCCAGCACAGTGCTAACTCATATAGAGGTTACTTTCAATGAAAAATCTTCATCCTTGTAAAAACATTTTATTCTCTTCCACTTTGTCCTCCCCCATTCAAGTTTTAAAAATTTACATTGTTTTACAAGCTTTAACAGCTATGTAGAGATTGTTGTGGAATCTGTTTTTATCAAAGTCCTTTGTTAACTGCAACTGTAATGTCTGCTTTCTGTTTTTATCCACGTAATTAGGGAAAACAGGTGAGTAATTGGGGAGAACATACCTCTACAAACTTTATAGACTGGCTTCAGTCTTTTATCCCTTTGAGTTTGTAAAAAAATAATCTTAGGATTCCATTTAATTGTGCCTCTGTTTAGCTCATAGTCACATTGTCCCCAAAGATAGGATATCACCTTGTCACAGGTCATACTGTTGAGCATCCAGATAGAGTGTGTCTGCATTTTTTTTTTTAATAAAGATTTTATTTATTTGACAGAGACACAGTGAGAGAGGGAACACAAGCAGGGGGAGTTAGAGAGGGAGAAGCAGGCTTCCCGCCAAGCAGGGAGCCCGATGTGGGGCTCGATTCCAGGACCCTGGGATCATGACCTGAGCTGAAGGCAGACGCTTAACGGTTGAGCCACCCAGGCGCCCCGAGTGTGGCTGCAATTACATTGAGTGGCCAGTTTAGTAAAACTGTCCAAGAAGGAAATAACTTTGATGTCATAGGGCTTAGTGAACACCTTCTGGGTTACATTGATTACTGTTTCTAAGTGTTTAGAAACCATCTCTGATTCTAGATCTACCCAAGATAGACACCAGACTTCTTCCAGTGGTTTTTGTCAAGCTTTGTGTGTTTTTCCAACACTCTTCTGTCTCAGTCTCTTATCATTCTATCATTGCTTGTGTGCTGTTCTTTCTACTTCTATTTTTTATCTCTTGTAAACCTAAGATTATTAGAAAAGTCTCTGTAGTTTCCCACACCAATGTCTGTAAGCACCTCCTTTATATCAGAATCCTATGAAATTACCTTGTTAGATTTACATTCTTGAGAGCTTCCTAGCTAGAAAAAAACATACTAAATTCTTTCTAAATTAAAAAAAACAAAACAAAACCCCACCTAAAAGAGAAACTTTAAAATTTCCATTTTCCTAATTTAGGTATATGCCACATCTAAACAATGTTCTAAATTCTATTTACCAAGTTAGTGGTTTGTAGTTGTTTTTCAAAGTAATTATGGATCCTTCTAGACCTTTTAGTCTTCACCTCTAAATCGGTAAAACAAGAACATATGCCCCCTATGACTTCATGTGTGTTAGAAATAGAAACTTACTCTGTAGTGTTCTTTTAACTTTTTGGAGGCTATATGCCCTATCAGTTCAGGCAAATTAGTGTTTTTTGTTTTGTTTTTTTGGGAATAATCTGTTCACATGTAAAGTGTCACTAAAGTAGATGCATAGAATTGTATGGTAGGAATGCAGTAGTGGTGGGCAGGGAAGAAGAGGCAGTATCAATATTAAGGGTATACTGTGTGTTGGGTCCTGTGTTGGGTCCTGTGTTGGAAGTAATCTAAGTAAGTTAGTAATTGGGAGCTGGTTGGAATGATCATTTGGGGGATGATTGAAGGGTGGTTTTTGGTTGTAATTACAGTACAATTTATTTTTTTCCCCCCAAAGGAACAGTGAGCAGAATGAGTACCTCACAGGACCAGAATGGCTGCACCAGTACTAGAGAACCCCTTTTGAGGTGTTGTGATGCACGGAGGGACTTGGAGCTTGCCATTGGTGGAGTTCTCCGAGCTGAACAGCAAATTAAAGATAACTTGCAAGAGGTGTGACGTGCGCATTTTTCTTCCCTTGTCTGGACTCTTAGCACAGGGCTGGTTAGAGCATGGCCAAGGGCTTGGCTTCTCTGTGCCAACCAAAACGTTTCACCCAATGCCTTGCATGGTATTCCTGAATCTTGTTTCCTTTTTTTTCCCAAGCACACTTGAGCAGGTGGTAGAAGAGCCTGGAAAACCTTGTACTACCTTAAAGAGTTCAGTTCAGCATGCATTTTTTTAATGGCTGCTGTGTGTGGTCCCTATCCCACGGACTGCCATCAATAAAAAGTAACAAAATGAATGAGTACTATACTTCTCAGCTGTGTCCTTGATGCATGAAGGGTGGCACTTCATCATGTCCCCTATCATTGTTTAACTTGGTGGTGGCATGGTTTTGTTGGAGGCATGGTTCTGTGAATAACTTTATCTGTTATATCAAGCCAGAATGAAATCTCTTTGTTCCATTGACCTAATACTATTCTGTTGGTGAGTGGGAAGACCAAGTATTATATGACTTGGAAATACAACTTTATTATACAGAAAAAATTTGTTTTAAAATAGTTTCTTTTGTGAATTCTCATGGATAATTTATAGTTGTTTTGATTTTTCTCCTTAGGATTTTTGTATTCTTTTTTGAGTCACTATTTATGCTTTCAGAAACATTTACTTTATAGGTTTACTTAGACTGTCCGTCCTCATGGTCTTCTGTCTATTCACATGCAGTGGCACATCTCTTTACTGAATTGGCCTACTGTAAATGGATTGCTCATTCATAGAGTGAGAAAAGAGATAAGGGCTAGCTATTAATATTCCTGTCTTACTCCACTGTGACACATTTGTAAGACTATAGGTTTTCAAATTATATGGAAAACAGAGGGGGATTAGTATTACATGATATATTCTTTTATTTTTTCTTGATTACTTTAGGCCACCCAAATAAACCTGCTCCTCTTTGGAGGGAGGTGGTATTGAAGGAGGACTTTAGAGCTTATGAATGCTTTTATGGCTGGAATTCTTTTTTTTTTTTTTACTTTTAAAAATTTTTATTATTTTTTTAAAAGATTTTTATTTATTATTTGACAGAGAGAGAGAGACAGCGAGAGAGGGAACACAAGCAGGGGGAATGGGAGAGGGAGAAGCAAGCTTCCGCCGAGCAGGGAGCCCGACGTGGGGCTCGAACCCAGGACCCTGGGACCATGACCCGAGCCGAAGGCAGCTGCTTAATGACTGAGCCACCCAGGCGCCCCTGGCTGGAATTCTTAAACTGGGTCCATGGGGGCTTTGGTGCTTCCATGGGTGTGCTTTGGGGACCTTAAACCCCAAAATTATAGGCAAAATTTTGAGTATATAATATGTATTTTTCTGGGGAGATGCTCCATAGATATGATTGGATAACTGAAAGGGTTTGTGATCCCTGAAAGTTTTAAGAAACTCACCATTCTGTGGGAAACACCATTCTTTGGGCTTATAACAGTAGTGAAGCTAACAGGTATGTGTTTCCTAGGTCAAAGCCCAGATTCACAGCTGCATAAGCCGTCACCTGGAATGCCTTCGAAGCCGTGAGGTATGGCTGTATGAGCAGGTAGATCTCATCTATCAGCTTAAAGAGGAGACACTTCAGCAGCAGACCCAACAGCTCTACTGGGTAAGGTGGCTGCAAGGCTGTAATTGGTTTGAGTATGGTTCTGGTTTCCAAAGAATGTCTTTCCTATAATGTAGCATTAATATAGATCGGGTATAAGTTTAATCTCAAGTGCTATTTGTTAACTTGGATATATTTGGTGCTTTTAGTATCACTGTGGCTAGATGGTTTCATTTTTCTTACAGTTACTGGGCCAGTTCAATTGTCTTATTCATCAACTGGAGTGCACCCAAAACAAAGATCTAGCCAATCAAGTCTCTGTGTGCCTGGAGAGGTAAAGATATTTTTTACTTGTTTTGACTTTTGGCTCTTTGATTTGTTGTATTTATTTATTTTTTAAAAAATTTTATTTATTTGAGAGAGAGCATGAGGAGGGGGAGGGTCAGAGGGAGAAGCAGGCTCCCCACTGAGCAGGGAGCCTGACATGGGGCTTGATTCCAGGAGCCCCGGATCATGACCTGAGCCCGAGGCAGACGCTTAACCAACCGAGCCATCCACGTGCCCCGGCTTTGACGTATTTAAAAAACAAGTCAATTTTGTAGCTCATTGTGTGTCTTGGATTTAACCTGACTTCTCTTTTCCTGTGATAAGGTCATCCTACTTTATATACTTAATGTTATATCTGGTGGTACATAGTGAAGTCATCTGCCTTTGATGAGTTTCTTAGAAAAGTAGTCATTACAAATTATTCACAATTTGGCTTTTGTTTTAGATTAATACCGTTTTCCTTAAAAATAGATTTTATTTCTTTCCCAGACTGGGCAATTTGACCCTCAAACCCGAAGATTCGACTGTCCTACTCTTTGAAGCAGACACAACTGCTCTGCGCCAGGCCATCACCACGTTTGGCTCCCTCAAGACCATCGTAAGTAGTGTTGATCTCAGATAATTCATAGAGCACTTCTCAGATCTGTGGACTCACAGATGGTCTTAAAAATTTTTACTATGAATAGTGGCTTTCTTGAGCATTTGGTAAGCTTCAGAAGTGTCATGTTCTGATTAAGTTGATAGAGCATTAGGCTGGTAGTTCTTGGAATGTGGTACTGACTCACAATTTCCAGAATTGATCTTGTATCCTTTTAAATAACTTTTGACATATTTCTTATAAAATCTATGGCTTGAAAGGCCTTTAATATAAAAAACCAAACATGGTCTCATTTGGGTCTTGTTAAAAGCAGTAATACTACCAATTCTGGTGACGAATTCTCTTGTATGATGATAGTTATGTAGTAGAGAATTCTCAGATTTCATAACTACTTGTGTAGGTCATTGAATTTAGTGTAAAGAATGTTCTAGTGAAATGATAGTGCTTTGATTACTACTTTTGAAATTTAGGAATTTCACTTTTTTGGAATGAAAGCATAACATTAATAAACATGATTAATTTGCTTTCATTTTATAGCAAATTCCTGAGCACCTGATTGCTCATGCTAATTCATCAAATATTGGGCCTTTCCTGGAGAAAAGAGGTTATGTCCCATTGCCAGAACAGGTAAAATTTCATTTTTGTTTCTGGTAACTAAGTTATTACTTTGTCTTTTGGCTTTTGACTAAACCACTTTTTTTTTCTACCATTTATTTGCAGTATTGCACCAGTGGAAATGAGTTAATTTATGCAATTAAACACTCTCTTTTAGACTGAACGTCAGATAGAAATTTAGAGGTTTTATAGATGTTACGAGAGAAAGTCATTGTTACCAATTAGTTCATAAGACATTATCATTAGCTCTTTGATTGGGGTAGTTCTGTCTTAGGGAATGTTCTCTTTATAATTCTTAAGGCAATGTGAACATAGAATGGTAGATGTTTTGAGTTGAGAGCAACCCTGGGCATGAGCTATACTTCTTGTTTTATATGGAGGCTTAGGGAAGTCATGTGACTTGTGCAGGGTCAGTGGCAAGCCAAAATTAGAAAGGTTGGGTCTGCTGCTTTTCTGGTGAACTTTCCATGGCATTTGGCATTGCCTCGTTAAGCGTAAGAGTATTATGTGATTAGCAGAAGTCAGCATCCAGCACCACAGCTGTCTCTCTCAGCGAATGGCTCCTTGGAAGCAAACCTGCCAGTGGTCGTCAGGCTCCTTACATCCCCAGCACCAACCTCCAGGACTGGCTCACCCAAAAGCCGACCTTGGAAAATAGTCAGGTGTGTTGCTGCCTTTATTGTTTCTGAGGTAGATGGAGTAGTAGATGGTTTCAGTTTTTAACTCATAGTTTATGTCTTTGTTTTTAGTTCTAGGCTGAAAATATTTTTACAACTCTTTATTACAACAGTGACACCTCTTCACTGTAGTTTAGAAAACAGAACTTTCAGGAAATACGAACTCATAACCCCAACATGCAGAACTACTGTAACATTTTTGTTTACATACTTCCATTTTTCTGTGTGTACGTATCTTCTAAAACATGATTCTGTAAATCTTGTTTTGACTAGCAGATTTTTTTCACTAGTAGAGCATGAATATATTCCTTTTTTTTTTTTTTAAAGATTTTATTTATTTATTTGACAGAGAGAGACACAGCGAGAGAGGGAACACAAGCAGGGGGAGTGGGAGAGGGAGAAGCAGGCTTCCTGCTGAGCAAGGAGCCCGATGCGGGGCTCCATCCCAGGACCCTGGGATCATGACCTGAGCCGAAGGCAGACGCTTAACGACTGAGCCACCCAGGCGCCCATGAATATATTTCTTTCATTTAATTTCTTCCATAAAATCCTTAATAGTATATAATATGTTGATTGGCTGTAACTTAAATTCCAGTTTTTCTGGATATAAACAGAGTTCCCCTAAATAGCCAGGAGTTAGTTTGTGCACATTCTTGATTAATTCCTTAGCAGTAGAATCCTGAAAATTGCGTTTCTAGATTATAATTCTGCATACCCTTTAATTATTGACAGAGAGAGAGAGAGCACAAGTAGGCAGGGCGGCAGGCAGAGAGAGAGGGAGAAGCAGGCTCTCCCCTGAGCAGGGATTCCGATGCGGGACTCGATCCCAGGACCCTAGGATCATGACCTGAGCCGAAGGCAGCCGCTTAACCGACTGAGCCACCCAGGCGCCCCTACCCTTTAAGACTTTTGATCCATATCGCCAGTTTGGCTTTCCAGGAAGTTGGTACCAATTTATATTCAGAAGAATATTCAGAATATTGAGGGTGCTTCCTTCCCTGAAACTTCTCGAATAGTGGTAATCATAAGTTCCTTTTTTTCCCCCCAAATTTGATAGAGTTAACAATTTTTACTTTTGTTTTGAAGTTTTTTTGCTTATGGAGGTTGAATATTTTTCATGTTTATTAGCTGCTTTGGATGAGTTGCCTAATCATAGTCCTTTGTTCACTTTTGTCTTCTTTATTCATAAAGGCTTATTGTATAGAACTGCCAGTCTCTCTTCTGTCAAATATGCTACAAATGCTTTCTCCTACTTTGCTTTTAATATTTTTTAGTTTTTTTAAAACTGCAGAAAATTACATTTTTTGTACTGAAATATATATTTTAGTATCTCAGTAGAGAAATCCTTTGTCTCTTGGCCTTATCTACTTCAATTTAGAAATACTGGGCAGTGTAATAAATGTGGAGATAGAACTCTTTGATCGTTGAACCCCAAAGCAGCCATAATGTTCTGGTGAACTAATACCGTGTACTTCTTGTGTAGACTTCTGCCAGAGCCTGCAGTTTCTTCAGTAATGTCTGGGGCAACCTAAAGGGCTTAGAAAACTGGCTCTACAAGAGTCAGCAACAAGAGGTTCCTGAAAAACCAACTTACCAAAAGTGTAACAGCCATTCTTCTACCAGTTCTTATGCTATTGAAATTGAAAAGGCTGGAGACCTGGACCTTTTTGATCAAGATGAGATGGACCTTTCTGATTGGCTGGTGACTGCTCAGGAATCCCAGAAGCCGGAGAAGCCTGGGAAGGGTAGCTGTGAAACCAGTGAGAAGTGGAAGCTCCTCTTGCAGGTGTTCCAGGAGCCCTATAGTGTGAATGATTGGCTTGTCAAGCCTGATTCCTGTACCAATTGTCGGGGCAACCAGCCCAAGGGTGTGGAGATTGAAAACCTGGGCAATCTGAAGTGCCTGAATGACCACTTAGAGGCCAAGAAACCCTTGTCCACTCCCAGCCTGATGACTGAGGATTGGCTTGTCCAGAACCCTCAGGACCCATATAAAGTAGAGGAAGTGTGCAAAGCCAATGAGCCCTGTACAAGCTTTGCAGAGTGTGTGTGTGATGAGAACTGTGAGAAGGAAGCTCTGTGTAAATGGCTTCTGAAGAAAGAAGGAAAAGACAAAAATGGTATGCCTATGGAACCAAATCCTGAGCCTGAGAAGTGTATAGATTTCCTGAGTGTGTGGCTCTGTCCTTCCAGAAAAGAGGCAATGCAACAAGCTAAGACGTCAAAGGCAGTGGCTCCCTCTAGAATTGCAGATTCCTTCCAAGTCATAAGGAACAGTCCTTTGTCAGAGTGGCTCATCACACCCTCATACAAAGAAGGTTGTCTCAAAGAAGTGCCAAGTACTGAAGACAGAGCTGGCAAGCAAAAGCTTATGAACCCCGTGGCCACTTCCTGGTGTCCCTTTAACACAGCTGACTGGGTCTTGCCAGGAAAGAAAATGGGAAACCTCAGCCATTTATCCTCAGGAGAGGACAAGTGGCTACTTCGAAAGAAGGCCAAGGTGAGCACAGACATCAGAATAACACCATTTGAACTAAGTAGATTTACACTTTCTTAATCCCAGATCTTGCAAATGGGCCAGATCCTTATGTGTTAAATGTTGCTTGGCCTATTAATTTTGATGGAAGATTTGTGATGCAGACTGAAATTTTTGACATTTTCCAGGCCTCCGGCCCCTATCCTGTAGGAAAGAAAAAAACAAAACCCCAGAGTATTTGATTGGCCGTTTATGGAAAAGATTAAACTGTTGTACCTTTGCTCTTGCTTATGAGAATGGCCAACAATATTCCTTATGGACACTAGACTATTTGGAAGATGAGTTAAGTTGGTCTCTTGCTTCCCAGTTGTCATGGAGCAACCCACCCTTGTTGTCTTCTTGCAGGAAGTATTACTGAACTCACCCCTACAGGAGGAACGTAATTTTCCCCAAGACCGTTACGGCCTCCCAGCAGTTTGTGACCTCTTTGCCTGTATGCAGCTTCAAGTTGACAAAGAAAAGTGGTTGTATCGAACGCCTCTACAGGTGCGTGCAGGCCACTAGCGTAGCAAAATTAGATTTTAGCTGTTTGTGTTTTGTCTTCAATATGAATTCACACTTTGCCCACTGACCTGTATTCCTGTTAATGCTGTGTGTGTGCTAGGCAAGTGAGCATGGCTGGGGGATCATAACAATTTCAGATATTTCACTTGAACTTGCTTTATGAAATAACTAGGACATACTCGAAAGTGACCTTTCAAGATGATTGAGCTGTCGGAATTTTCAGAGCCTATGTGGATTTTAGTAGCTTATTGAGAAATGAGTCAGAGCTCTAAGGGGGTGGGGGGAGAGATTTGCTTTTATCCTATAGTGAAGTGACACTAATCTTTGGGCTTTTCTTTATAGATGTGAAGGAATGGAACACGAGTCAAACAACTTTACTGCAAATTACCACACATCCATGGGCCGAGTGACTGTGCGGCTTGCCAAATCATTGTGTTTCTGGGTCTGACCAGTCAGCTTAGTTCCTTTTCCTACCTAATTTTGAGCTAGTGAAGAGAAATAAGTCATCAAATTATGAGTTACAATGTAAAAGAAAAAGGCTGTTTGTTGATGCTGAGGGTGATCAGTTCCTTCTTACAGAAGTATTAACTCAGCCCTACACTAGAAACACAGCATCTTGGTGGACAGGTCTTTTTCATAAGCTTCTGCAGCTCCTTAGATTGGATTATTACTAGAAGTACATTAAAACACTGTAGTTTTAAAAATGAAATAGTTCTATAATCAAGGTGTGTTGATGTATTCGAAAGCTAGTGAGCTTCCCTAACCTTTTGATTGTCCTCCTTTAGATGCTTCCCTTGCTGTGGGTTTTCTTCCATTGGTGGTGGAAATGATTCTTCTGTTTAATATATAGTATATTTCACACAAGTACTTAACTTTGCCAATATATTTTTTTCCTTACCAAAATGTGTATTAACAATCTTGGCAATTTGGGACATTAATTACAAAACATTTTAACCTACGTGTCAGATTCTACATTATTTTTCTTCTTTTGAAAGAGATTCAGCTACTGCAAATTTTGTCTTTTTCCCTTTTCTAAATGTTTAATATCGAGTGAGCTTTCAGAAGAACTCCAAATTGCTTCAAGACTATGTTCAAGGTAGTCCTAGCTGCTTTCAAAATATTCTGAACTACAGGTCAAAGAGCCCTAGTGCTGACTAATCAATCAGAGAGCAAAAGGCAAGACATGTTGGAAATGTAGTACTCGAACTATTTGCTATCTTAATTGGTGCATCCTGTGTAAAGGGAAGCTGAGCTTGACACCCGGTGCTTTTAACTAGGATAAAGTAAATGTCCTCTCACTGCAAGCATAGCATACCTATACCTCTGAAAGTAGAATGCGGTGACGTTTTAGTGAACAGGCTGTTTTGAACACTTGTGCCTTGGGGTGTTTACTGAAGCTTTATGAAAACTTGATGTTTTCTCAGTACCTTTAAAAGTCACATCCATGCTTTAAAAGGTTTCTCTATTGGAAATGCGATTTATAACGTTTTTAAATTCTCTAAGGTAAGATACCGTAGCTGCTTTCTAGGCTTTTAAGCTATTAAGCCACTCAGCTTGCCTAATATGTTATTGTTCATACTTGTCAAGTTTGTGATACGGTCATCTAAAAACCCTTTTGGGGAAACTTCACAATCCCACGGTCCTTGCCAGACAGTTTCATTAGACTTCTTGACCACAGCTGAAAAGAGCCTCTTATTTTTTTGGCCCCGCCCCCCCAATACCACTTAGAACTTTAATAAAGGTGGCAGGTAAAAACTTCGTAGTTTTTGAGGTTTAAGGATGTATTCCTAATTTTACACTCACCACCATGCTAATGAGTATGTAAAACATTCTTCTGCACTGATGCATTTTGTACCCACTCTATTAAAAGCATTAACAGCCATAGTTGTTACGTGTATCTGTAAAACTACCTTGTCACAAAATGTTCTACCACGTTAATCTCTGGGTCGGAGTACAGCTGAGAAACAACTTGAACGTTAACTGTTTTATATTCACTTAAAATATCAGTATATTTTATGATTAGTAAATCATAAATTAGTAAAGGGTGTATTACTAACTTCATTTTGAGTCTTTGCCTGCAGACTTCAGATCTGCTCTTTTAATTTTTAACCTATGAATTCTATATTAAATTCCTTTTTTTAAAAAAAAAACTAGAGGCCTTGAGCTAAGGTTCACTGCTTTGCTGTCAGATTCCTTACTAGGTGCGTGCCAAAGCCCCACCTTCCTCTTTCCTTCACAATAACCACCAGTTTTTTAGTATTTATTACGTGTATGTGTAACACACAGCACAACTTAACTTCATTTCACAGGTTAGAAAACAAACTCAGGAATTAAATAACTTGCCCTTACCTTCTTCAGCTTTCCCAAGACTTCCTTAAACCCTTGTAGCTTGTTCCTTTCCTCTAATTAGGTTTCTAATTATCCTCCGTAAGGTGAGTTAATGAGTAATTAAGCATGATCGTTGGACAGTGTGTTCTAACAGTACTCCAATGGCATAATGGTTAATCTCAAGTATCCTGAGGTGGTTTAGTGTCGACTCTACTGAAGAAAAATTGTAACCTGGCTGTTAATGGTGCCAAGTAGCCCTTCATTTCAACACAACCAAGAAAACACGTGTTGGCCCAGTTGGGGCAGACAAAAATGCTAGGAGTAACTTTCACTTTATACCCAGAAAAATGCTTTTAAATGGAGACACCGCTATGTTTACACTTTGGTTCTATTTTCACCTTTTTATTGGGAATACAAGGCAATGTTACAGTTTCAGATCATTAAATAAACAAATGTGGTGATACTGTATTGACAACAATCATGACCTGAATTCTGTGAGTAAGTAGTTTTCCAGTTCAGTGGGTAGAGGAGAACCACATTACTCAGCCACCAGAGTGTTCTGGCTTCAACTCAGGCTAGAAGGAATGCCAGTCCTGGTCAACCATCCATGATCTTCACCACAGCAAACTGGAATCTCCAATTTTTCAAACTAACTGTAGTTAGAGTAATTCCAGACTGACCTATAAATTGATGTGGACGACTACTAAAGTGCCCTCCACTCCTAAAGTGGCAAAATCCTCAGAGTGACTGTTGGAGTAAGGAGCCTTTCATGTGCTCCCAGTTATTATATAGTGCATAGAGGCCGGTAAGCGTTAGTCCTGCTAGACCACCTCGTGCTACCCCTCGGAGACCACCTGGAAAAGAGAAGGGGGGAAAAAAAAACAGCCTTGTATTGCATAGTGTCCTGGCATCAAAGGATTAAGTAATGTTATGAGGTTGAGACACACAATTCATGTTTATAAATATTCCACCTCAAATAGGAGAATAAAAGTCCTAAAAGTAACATAAACCAAGACCGGTTCAAGACAGAAATTCCCTTACATCACTTGTTTAAGAATACAGTATATGTATTATTCACAACCTTTTCCCCTCACTTTTAATTTTGTAATTTATAGCTAAGATCATGAGCATTAATAATTTCATTTTTCTCAATCTTATTTGTTCCTATAACACTCCAGACAAGATCTTACGCATATTATTGAAGTCCCAAACAGATCAATAATTTCCTGCTAGTCCTACTGTTTAGAACCTCACAGGCACTGACAACTGATTTAAAGCCCTAATATAAACAAGGTGACACCCTCTTTGGAAACAATATTAAACTCTGGACAGGTCCTCTATTAACTTTGAAGACTCAAGAAGTAGTGGTGATAAGATGGCTATATCAGGCTTTGAGTCAGGTGCTGACAAAAGACCACACGCCACCTCTGCCACTCCTACATTGACATAACGGACGACCTACAACTCATGAGCAATGAGGCACGTGGCGTCATCATACTGAAAAGAAGGATTAGACTTTGAACTATTATTGCTTAACACAATAGTTTTTCATGTGAAAAAAAATTAGCAGTATATATTTCACTTGAAATGTAAAAACAAAAATGTTTTAATCAGTTGCCTGAAAACCATCCCTGAGTCTAACAAGAGGACTAGGGGGTACCCAAATAAACTTTTAAGAAATAACTTGATGTTCTCTTACGGTTTCACAAACAAGTAGATATCATAAATTTCAGGTAGCCTATACTGTACCTATGGAGTACTCATTCCAAGTCGTTTTAGGAAGGCAAAGGTTGAATGGAGCTGTGGTCCAGTGATTACCTTACTAGAGGCCCTTTGGCTATGAGCCAGTAAATTCTGTGAAATTCAGTGACACTGCCAAGTTAGAACACTTCAGACTAACCATTTCTGCAATGAATGTCCTGCCAGATGGCTTCAGCTGATAGATTAAAAGGCCACCCCCTCCAGGAGCCTCTCTGGTCTGACGATGTCTGATAGCTGACCTGCGTAGGTTTCCACCTTGAAGTGCCCTAATTATCTCTCTCAAACAGACTGAAACAGAAACTGTAGGCATCATCTATAAATAGCTGTTGAAGAGGTGGGAGGAACATCAGAAACAAAAATTCAATGGGAGATCTCCCCTTGAAGCCACATCATCTCTTTATATCATGCTATATTTAGACTGAGTATGGCAGTTATAACTTGGCAACTGTATTCAATGTGGTTGAAAAATGTACACTTAACCTGCTAACTTAAAACAATCTGCCCAATTTAATAATGATCTACCTCATGTCTTTGACTAGCGAGTCAACAAAAAGTTCTAGGGACTGAAGGTGAACTATAATTAGACCAAATTACTAAAATGGAAAAAAAAAAACAACAGAACTATGAAGCACAGGAGAATAAATGCACTCACAACACTGAGTGTAATGAGGGTTCTTTCAAGCAGATTACAAACATACATTATTCTGAATCAACACAAAACAAAAGAAAGGTGGCCTCACTGCTGTTTATCAGCAGAAAAATAATGGCGGGCAGGTAACTGAAAGCATACTAGGTTTGCAGATGTTTTCGTGGGACCAAACATTCAACTTAAGACTAACTCCCCCAGACCTTTAGTCGATTACAGATTCACAGGGCTCTGAACTCTGCCTACTGGTTTGGAAATAGCTGCAAACTGTTCCTTCCAGTTGGCCCTTTGCTTTGAGTTTCCCAAGAACGCAGCTTCTACTCAGCCTTTTTGGAAGGATTTTCACCTTAGTTCTCAGCTATCAAATAACAAATCTCCCTGGGCAGGGGCACTAAGGGTAACATAATGAAACTGGGAACTCTTAAGATCTTTGGGACACCAGTGGCATATTAAGTGTCCCTTGAGAACCATTTATCCCCTAGAAAGCTTTCTACTTTGACCAAAATGAAACAAATTCTTCTTTGAAGGCTAGAAAAACAGTTATTTCCAGCAAACAGACACTAAACATAGGCAGCGTTTGATTTACTAAGCATAGCTAATCCTGATCCAAGTGTAGCCTCTTATCACATACCAAGCCATGTTTTAGTTTTAACTTTCCATTAATTCCATTTCCCAAATGGTGGTGTTAAAAGTTTGAAGGCCTTGGCTTTAGGCTTTCTGTAACCAACTTATGCCCAACTAAGCACAGGAAGTTTGATTAGCAAATATTCTTGCTTTGAACACAGTAACCAAGTAAGACCAAAGGTCAGTCTCTATAAAGGAAAACAAACACGAGACGTGTGTTTCAGTTCTACCTTCTATCTTTTAGTCCTTACACAACTCTTCCAAAAAGGGCAAATATTATCTCTTTTCTAAACACAGGAAAATGAGGCCCAGAATATTAAAGTACCTTGTTTGTGGGATACAGAGCTTGATAGTGCAGAGCTAACACGCTGAACTGACAATTACTTTAGAGCTGGGACCAGCAAATTTTTCTTTAAGTGGTCAGAAAGCAAATATTTTAGGCTTTCAGGGCCCAAAGGCTATTCTGTAGATATTTACACAACCACTTAAAATGTAACTACAGTCAACCCTTGAACAATGCGTAGGTCACTACCTGCCCCCCATCCCCTGCACAGTCAAAAACCCACATACAACTTCTAACTCTCCAGAAACTACTAATAGCCTACTGTTGACTGGAGGCCTTAACTGAAACATACAGTTGATGAACACATATTTTGTACATTATATGTATTATATATTGCATTCTTACAACAAAGCTAGAGAAAAGATTACTAAGAAAATTGTAAGAGAAAATAACAGCACTGTACTGATTTAAGAAACACCATGTATAAGTTGACCCGTGCAGTTCAACCTCACATTGTTCAAGGGTCAAGTGTATTTAAAAGTATAAAACACATTCTCAGCCTCCAGGCAGTAAACAGACAGGCATCTGGCCAGCAGAAGTTGTTGGCCCCCGCAGCCTTACCTACACACTCACATGGCTACTGCAGAATACGATCCAAAAATTTTTTGGACTATTTAAAATTTTGTTAAATTTATTTAAAAAACTGAGGTAAAAGACACATAAAATTGACCATTTTTAACTGTACAGTTCAATAGCATTAGTATACTGGCATCGTGCTACCATCACCCCATCCATCTCCAGAGAATTTCATGTTGCAAAACTGAAACTATGTACCCATTAAACAGTAATTCCCCACCCCCCCTTCCAATATAATGCCTAATTTTTATTATGTTGATACATAGGGTCTTTGCTCACTTTATTTTATTAAAGTAGTCCACATGAATAATTTTAAAAGTCAAAATAGTACTAAAAGATTTTAGTGATGTACAATGTGGCACATGCACCATCTTAATCCTCATTCCTAGTTCCCAAAGGCTACTTTCATTCTTTGCTCTTCACCCTCATGTTTCTAAATAACACAACTACCTTGCTATTTCTTGATTTCTCAATCTTACATTTTATCTACTGACTTCCTACAAGGAAAACTGTTAAGCCTTTTAAGAATTGTATAAAATGTGCTTATGGTGGGATGTAAGTCATTACTTTTATATAGGTTATCTCATTTACAAGTCTGTGAAGGGAAAATATAGGTTGCCTTTGTATAACAAACTGAAATTCAGCCAAGTTCCTCTCTGCATGCAGCGGTTTAGGGATCTAGTGCTAGTCAAGTCAAACCCAGTCTGACTCCAAAGCCCTTTGTCTTTTCACCACACTAAACTGCCTCCAGGATACATTAAAAAAAGAAAGGAAAGAAAGAAAAAGAAAGAAAGGAAGGAAGGAAGGAAGGAAGGAAGGTCTATCGAAAGGGGTAATAACAGTTGAGCTGCACCTTATGGATGGACTGGATTTCAAATTTATGATATATATAAGGAAGGTGTGGGAAAAGTCTGAAAACATAGGCTAGGATTAGATCATGGAAGGCTAGGATGAGAAATTTAAGTTGAAGGGCAGTATGTCATCATCAAAGGTTTTTGGAGAGGGAGTACTAGGATTAGAACCATACTTGAGGAAGATTAAGCCAGAAACAGTGAATAGATAAGACAGATTGAAAATAGAAGCCTAAAGTCAAAATGGTCAATGAAAACTACTGTTACAGAAGTTCAGGCTTTTGAGAAAAGGCAACTCAGGTGATGGCTGGTGACTCTCCCGAATGATGAAATGAGGGGATGATGAAAGGAAGGTGGAAGTCAAGGGTGCCTGGAGCACTACAACAGAGGCTGTTTTCCCTCTGCTTTCTCTGTCAGAGTGGAAGCAGGGTGTGTGGCTCTTGGCAGCAGAGCAGCTGGTTTTCAGGCTTCCCTCACGGCTGCCCCACAGGTCCCCTCCTAGCAACCCAGTTGTCCCATGCAAGACGACACTCATTACGTTATCTCAGCCATTTCTGACCCCCACGTGACTGTCCTTTTAGGACTCTTTTTTTTCCCCACCAGATTCTTAGGCATTTTGGTGGTTGCTTTCCTGTGGTGTTATGGTGGCCCAGACCCCTTTGAGAATCTTAGGGGAAGTTTTAGAGGATTTGTAAACCCTGACTTAACTAACATCTCCTGTGTAAACTCTGTACCTAAAACAACAGTGAAAGCTCACCTCTCTGATAGCTATGATAAACAATTTAAGGCTTATAAGTAAATGGAAATGCTCTATTTAGAATGTAAGAATTAGAGCCCAGTGAAGTCAAATTCTTTGCAGTGGCCTATGAAGCTCCATCTTCTATATGATTTGGTCCCTTGCCACTTTTATGTCTCCAGATTCTACTCCCCCCCGACTGCCTTTTAACCCCCACCTTAGGGTCTTTGTCCCGTTAGCCTTTACCTAAATCACTCCTTGCAGACATCCACCTTACAAGCTCCCTCATCTGTCTCCGTTCAAACATCCCGTCTTTTGAAGCCAGTCTTAAACATGCTGGTATTTACAGTTTTGTGTGTATGCCTTAGTTTGCTGTAGGATAAATTGCTGAAAGATTACCAGAGCGAAGGATCTACATATTGAAAACACTACTAATTCCAGTTGCTTGCTTACCTTTGCCAATATTAAGTATCACCTACCATCAGTTAAGTTTTAACTTTATTTATTTTTTTTTTCATTTTCTTTTCTTTAAGTTTTGATCACCTGGTGCTCATCACAAGTACACTGCTTACTCCCTGTCATCTATCTACCTATTTCACCCATTTCTCCACCCACCCCGCTCTGGTAACCATCAGTTACCTATCATCACTTTTTTAAAGACAGTTGGTGAAAAATATAATCTTAATGTTTTATTTTGCTTTGCTCTGGTTGCTTGTGAGACTGAATGGCTTCTACTGTTTAGTGGTGATTTGTATTTTTCCCTGAAGCATTGTCAATCCTACTCCATTTTTTATTGGATTGTTGGTTTAAGTGATCTGTCAAAATGTTTTGTATATTATAGCAGCTAGCCCTTTGCCTGTTATATATGTTACGTGTATTTTAACTTACCAGAAGACTATTGCTGCCAGTAACAGAAATAAAGAAGTCACCAAGAAAGTCCTTTTAGCACATATAGTTTAATTTTGAAGGCCTGGCATTCATTGATAAACAGTACCTTTTAACAATAACTGATGAAATTTGCTTAATATGGAGAAATGTATTTGTATATCCTTTTACTTTTATTTAGTTTGCTTTTCTAAGATGACCTTCTTATGGAAGGCATAGAATGAACAGGCAGGGACGTTTTGTGAGGGAACAGGGGGTGCCCCTATCTTTTGGTCTCTGATGCTTTGTTCCTGGTATCAGATGAGTGACCATTAGAACCTTAGTCCTAAGTTTATGAACGACAGCAAAACTACAGCTGTTCCTGTTCTGGTAGAATACTGGCCACTATTATTATTATTTTTTTAAGATATTATTTATTTATTCGAGACAGCACAAGCAGGGGGATGGGCAGAAGGAGAGAAAACTGAGCTGAAGGCCTAGCTGACTGAGCCACCCAGGAGCCCCAATACTGGTCATTATTTTTTTATTTTTTTATTTATTTTTTATTTTTTTTTTTAAAGATTTTATTTATTTATTTGAGAGAGAGAGAA